GTCATTTGAAAAGGTTTCATTTTTATATATTTTAGAAAAGTAAGTTAAAGTACATCTGTAATTGCCATTACCTAAAATTGAGATGCAAATTACATCTGAATAGCATGTGTTATAATAGATATTCCCATATGGAACCTCATCTGGCAAGTAAGTATAAATAGATGATAAATACCATTAAACCATACCCTTTGCATTTGTTTGACTTCACTTCTTAAAAGAGAGCTTCGTGTAGTTTAACTAGACTCTGCACGCAGGGTAATTAAACCATTCAGCTCATCACATTTTTCTGTTTTACTTGAAACATGCTCTGACATATGAGACGTATTCTTTAATATCAGCTCATCTGATATGATGGGAAGAGTTACAACAATATTATTGCACCATTTAAAGGTTTGTGTGTGGGAAACCTCCCATGCGTGAGAGTCAGTAATTGTCCAGGGGTAAGATTTTGACATAGAACTTCATCTCTGATAAAAGAACTTTAAATGGACATTCATGGTGACAGGAATTTAGATTGTATTTGACCAGCTATTGTTGCCCTCAGGGTGGGGAATCTGACAGCTTAATTTTCATTTTGTCAAAATTCCCACCTTTTCTCTTGAGGGCTTCTCACACAAATCTTTGAAAAAGTCGGTGATGCTTTTTATATAATTAGTTCCCTAAACATGCTTAGAATAGCATTATGTCATTAGATAGCTGTTATTATTACCACCTTGCCGGGCCTGTTCTAGGGGTGCTTGTTTAGAAGGCTTTACTTTACTGTATTGCATACCTAGCGAAGCATTTTTATTGAAGTCAATGGAGCTGAAAGTCGACTATATATATATACCTGTCCTGTATAGCCACCAAACTTTTTGCCATGACAATCTTATGACGTCATGTTTCATTCTTCCAAATTTCACTTGCACACAGACGTGTGACATCATTAATATAACGTAGTCATGGAAATAAAGGTATGTTACATACAAAATGTAGAACTGTCGTCGGTCTTTCATGACAGACCTCAGGTATATATTCAATGATACGGACAGAACTGCTAAATATTGACCTGAGCAATATGTGACGTCATAGTGGCGGGCCAATATTGATATTTCATCCTGAGATTTGAGATGAGATAAGATATTGAACAAATATTTCACTCTATTGAGGTGAATACCTGTACATCTTTCACAAGTGATATTCCACGAAGCCCGAAGGGCAGGTGGAATATCACCTTGTGAAAGTGCTACAGGTATTCACCGAAAATAGAGTGAAATATTTGTTTTATTATATCACTGTCTAGCTAAACATCCCTAATATTATTAAGTCATAGATTAACATTGAAATACATTGAATCTACTCGGTTCGTCTGCCATTTTGACTTACACTGAACTAAATTATTTACACTGTACGAAAACAAATTGTTTGAAAATTCCCGGGAGCGTGGGATATCGCTAGATATCTCACGGTTGTCTTATCTGATTAGCATTGCCATTGAATATCGCCAGATATCCCACGACATGTGACCCGGTTTTGACCAATCATACTGTCGCTAGCTAGATAGTGATATAATAACGTTTATTATCCCATGGTTGCAAGGATATAGATCGAATATCACACAAAGATATATTTGATATATGGATCAAGATATCATATTTTAGCAAAACTTTACAAACCATCGAATATCACTTTTAAACTATCGAATATCACGTCTTAAAAAGTGATATTCGATGGTTTGAGAAGTGATATTCGATGGTTTGAAAAGTGATATTCGATGGTTTCAAATTCTTTCAAAAAAAATTCTTTTTACATTTTTTAATTATTTTCAAAAATATTTAAACCAAATTTAAAAAAAAAAATTCAACATTTTTTCACAATTTTTTCAATTATTTTTTTAATTTTTTTCTCAAATTATATTTTTCAACTTTTTTCGTTGATGTTGATTTCTCATGGGATAAACGGACAATCCTATGGTTTTGAAAAAATATCAATTATATCCACTCATGGATGCGCTCACTCATTTTTTCAAAACCATAGGATATTCCTATAATATGTAAAATTTTCGTTCAGAGGCAGTCTGTTCTTGTTATTTCAACCCTGGGGATAAACGGTGGTAATAAAACTAATAACGTCATTTCTTCGGGCAAAATAGTGAAATATATATCATTATATTGCTCTTTGAAATGACGTTACTATACTATTGTCACTGCCAAGCATTGTCACAGGCACATATGATATAATCTCCAAAAGTTTTAAACAACCCCATTTAGATAAAATAAAAGCTGGGACGAGAGATCTCAAATTATCTTGAATCTGGGCTCTCTTGGATCACCAAATCCAACCTGTAATGCCAAGGTAGCTCAGAGGAAGAATTGAAATGTCATGATTCATCTGCCATTACATTTTCAAGGAACTATGCGTAATTCACCCAGGGGACTGCATGTCAAATGTCACCCAAATATCAGGTTTTTGTATTGTATCACATTAATTCTTTGGGACTTTTAATTGTTACTAAGAAATTCAGTTGGGATATAGCTCTCTAATTGAAGAATCTAACAGGGTCTCTGCAAAGATGGTGGAAACATTATTATTATGTAATAGTATATAAGTTCCGTACAGATACAATGAAGTAATCATTGCTAATATGTGCCCATACAACTTTATAAACCATGACAACTCATTTTTTCTCAGCCTTGAGATGTTTCTCGAAATAGAAAGATGCCATGAGTATCAGAATGGTGCCCATACTAGTTTTCAAAGGTTCTTTGTTATAAAAACCTATTCATAAGGGACTTTCTTGGTCATAACTTACCGTTCTATGGTGCATCATGTTATATTCCTATTTATTACATTATGTAATGTTATATTAGTATTCCATCTATGTTATAAAGCAGGAATATAAGCGGAATAATTATTCATTTCCTGCCAAAATGACATTCAGCCTGATTGATAATACATTTAATTTCATTTGACTTAAATTCATAACACATGGGATAACATAGTAAATAATGAAATCCCTGTCATCAAACCCATGATATGAAACCATTTGTGTATAAAAAATTATATGGAGATAGTGTGGGCCTAACAATCCTGCCTCTATGATCAATGAATTAATCTGATCACCATACGAAATGATCTCAATTGATACCATATGGTTTTAAGGTTAGATCTGGTAATCCAAGATCAAGACTTCTAGTGATATGAAATCATATATCACGGGGTACCATCGAATAATTTTAGCAACGTACCGGAGAACGACATTTTACTAAGAAATGGCAATAATTTAGCACAATATATTTTTTAACTAGAGTTCTACTTTGATTTTGACAAAAGTAAGTATTCCATGCAATGGCTATTTCATTCATGAGTTTGTAGGAATTCTGTTGGAACCCAGTTCTGATCAAGTACGAAGTTATTGAAATCGGAGCAGTCGGACTTTACTCCGAAAGATGGTTTTTCGATTATAACTTTTTACAACATTTAAGTAAAGACTTTTGAAAAAAGTACAGAATAGTCCTTATACTATTGAATAATTCTGTTATTTCAGATTCACACGACTCTGATTTGTTTAACTAAAAAAAAAGTTTTAAAAATATTACTTAGGAACGTAACCGGAGCTGGGAACGTAACCGGAGCAGATCAGTTGAATTATATAATTTAAAAAAATAAAATATATGATTTAAAGCATATATATTAATAAATACGCATTCGAACAATCCCGTATGTTTTTAAATTAGTATATGTGCTTTAAATCATATATTTTAATTTTTTTTGGCCATTGGGATGAGTTGAACAGTTCTATCGGCAAAGAAAAATAACACTTTGAAACATAATAAGGCTAAAAACACATTTGCAGAAAATAAACATATCATTATGTAATAATAGGAGCAAATTAGGAAAATTACTAAGTAATAAGCACATTAAAGGCAATCATAACATGATATATAGCCTTCATACTTAATGAACGTTATCATAGCTTTTACAATCAGATGGAACTGATATTAAAGAATAAAGTGAAGCGTGTGTACGTTGAACATTTTTTGCTGAGAAAAAATGTTCAGTGTTGTTAGGTGTTTACCACATAGAGGGTAATTTATATAGAAGTTATTAGAGTTTGTGTGGAGGAAGAGTATCTACTAGAGACAGGTGTTCACTAAGACAGGTGTTCACTAGAGAGAGGTGTTTGCTAAGACAGGTTTTACTATATGTCTCACAATATCAGCGCATGTTTAGAGAAAGATCTAATTAATTCCGATACACATCACACTTTTTTGAAACCAATTATATCAAGAAAGGAACTGAGAGAAGGATTGATCTCTCTCGGATGTGTTCAATAGATCTTTTCAATTGAGTAACTATGTTAAACCCAATTGCAGACACAAGCCCTGGATTATCTTGATGAACCACAAAATCACCTGACAAGATAGGTTGTAAGACGAAAAGTTCTGATGAGCATCGCAATGAAAACCTAAATCATGAGAGTATGTTACGCCTTAGATGTCACATTTGCTATGGCGACCAGACAGTCCTACAATGTTAAACTTATGCCCAACCTATTATGCCAGGCGACTGGCTTATAGAGTGTCTCAATGCAAATGCTTAAAGGGGGAAAATCACCTAGGTTTCTCCCCCAGACAATCAGTGATGTCCCATTATAATTGTTCATATAATATCTAACATACCTAAGATATATCTTGAGAACAAATTGAGGGCACAGTATCGCCAATACATTGAAAAATTAACAAAACAACCAACTGTCGGATAATACATGTACATAATAATTAGTCAAAATCAACATACAACAGTTTTATCTATATTATGAAACCGTTGAAAGTAATATATATATAATAACTAAGTGTTACAGGGAAAGATAAAACAAAAATTCATTTCGACTTTATTACTGGCCAGTAGAAAAGTATTATCTGTGAACAATCATCAAATTAATTGCGTAACAAATTAGTCGAAGCCTCAAAGTTGGTAAGTTGATAGACCAACTTCTCACATCTTTCAGATCCAAAACATCAGGGGGTTACTCTGATTGTGCTTTTATCAGACATTGCACCTTTAATATTCTCCCCTTTAATGTCAATACAAATACTGTCTGTCTGAACATCTCTGTTCTCTCTCTTAATGCAACTTTTAATGAAATAAAATAAGCATTCAAATATCTCAGCAAAGGCGAAATATGTGAACCCTATTCCAAAGATCAGAGTAGACCCCAACGATGACAAAAGATTGGCAAGTGTCACGATTTTCTTTTGTTCATATGTTAGAACATCTTTACTGTTCAGCATCACATCAAGTTTAATCAAACTATCCTTTACACCATTATAAGCTCTCAGCTTTGTGTGTATCTCCAACATGGTGAGATTTTTCCCATTACCAGTCAAAAGGTCTTCATATTCTGTGAACAACTGATTGCATGCTGTGCCTTTTCGGATATATCGCTTGTACATTCCAAGGTGTGTTGAAACATCTGGCCATACAGATTGACTGATTGAGTTCTGATAACTATATGTGCTGCATTTCTCTTTGCAATGAGAACATTGGTGCTTCTGCTTGTGAGATGTCAACTTTATTCTAGCTTTTTGTAGGCATCTGTCATTCTTTTTGAGTGCCTCTCTTGGTAAGTTCATGTTCATGCAATATAATGGGTGATGGTCACCAAATGAAGGAATTTCTTCCCATGAACAGTTGCAGGATTCTTTGAAGACATCCTGTGCACATTTCGCAAAGCACGTAGCATGATCGTATACAAACTCACGTCTACCACTCTTAATGTCTTCAAATTCCTCTTTGCAATTGCCATATGGTGCTGGTAGTTGGATTGAGTGTATAACACTTACGCTGACTAGTGTTTCAAAACCAGGGGATACGGTAAAGCCTTTTGACTTAGATGGCATCGTGTTTGGTTCATGTATGTAAACAATCGCTCCATTACTTGAGGGAACATTCTCTGGGATTTCATAAAACACGTCCGGGGCTAATGGGGCCAGGAATAAGACAAATGATACTCCACGTAAGCGTTGCAATCGTGTCGCATTTAATTCTTGAGTGTGTAGCTGAAATGTGTAGCAGTTCAATTTGTCCAAATCTCTGAAAAGAATTAACTGTTTCATTTCACATGGGGTTTCTCTTCCATACCAGTCTTTTAGTTTACAATCTCTAATGAAATCTCCTTTCTTGTGACCACTCATCTCTAGTTCATGAGGAGATAATGATGCATGGAAAAATGTTTTACTTTCAACAGCATCTTTCATCCCCATTCTTCTGAATTCCTCCAATAGTTTCTTATAACTTTTATGTGGATCCTTGGTTTTTTGTGCTGTATTACCATCTACTTTGGACCAAGCTTTTGATAGAGTTTCTCGAGTGATGTCCTTAAATGTTTTGCTGTGTGGGTTAATGTTACAGAGTGTAACATCTGGAAAATGTGTATCTTCCGTATTTCTGCTGAGGTCAACGCTTGTAGTCACTTTATATTCAAAGTACTCTTTCAATATGTTTTGCACCATATACAAAGTCAAACCCAGGGCAGCCAAGAAGACAAGAATATGTACCACACACCATATTTTGCTTTCGCTGTTAACTATTCTCGGGAGTCCACGTATTGATGTTGTTTTCATAAATTTTACAAGTACCTCATTTGGGCTTGCATTCTTATCCTTTTTTCTTTGTCTAGTTTGTGTCATCTTTATAATTACATTATGGAATGTTATATGTCTTTGATAAAACCAATATTGCAAAGTTTGTCAGAAAATGACGAGGTATCACTATACATCTTTTTGCTGTCAATGTTCAGAGTACATTATGTGATAAGGGTGTGGGCTTGCATTTAACATTGTCATTTACTAATGGGGGAACAGCTAATATATATTTGATTCAAAGTTTCCGGATGAAAATATAGTATGAGACGTTATAGATAGCTTTTTTCTCAACAGTGTGAATTTTTTAAATTAATGATAATGATTAAAGGTATAACATATTCCCTCATGTTCTCCATAACATGAGTATGAGTGTTACAATGAATTATAGCTTGGATACCAAACTCCAAAGCATGTGCTCATAGGGATCTTGCATGTTTTTTTAGAATTTGTTATATTTTCCCTTGCTGGTTCATTTAGTAATGTACAGGATAAATAAAAACAGTTATAAAATGTTTCCTGCATATTTATGACATATACAGCTTTTATATGAATTCACAGAAATACCTATTATTATTCTCATCTTCCAAAAATATATAAAAGTATAATTATTTGACACAAGACAAACCACCTCTCATTTACAGCAGTTACTATACTGAGACAAATGAGATTATGCTAGATAATGAATTCAAAGACAAAAAGGGTAGACCTTGTAGGTGGCCCTGGTATTTAATGAATTTAAAGACAAAAAAGGTAGACCTTGTAGGTGGCCCTGATATTTCCAAGGGAGCCACAGGGGGACCATACATGACCATTCAGCATGTCCGACGATACAGCATGGTGATAGCTTGTCTAATTTCTAAAGCAACCATAAAAAAATGAAACAAGGCGTTAACATGTAAAATGTTGTAACAGATATCATTTGTTACAGATGCGGACTGAACATCAAAAACCAACCATCCACAAAAAGTATGTTACCACTTGTGGATATAGTGACATAAAAATGTTTAACTAAGTGTTAAAATTTCCTGGGATTATGCCACAGTGCGACCTTGAGGCAACTATAGATACATAGAGCAATACAAGTACCAAACAAATTAAGACAGATTTAGATGCTTATATGCCGTTGTTATTTGATCAATTATTAATAGACAGCTATATAATTCTATATTTCTCAAAACAAGAGCACCATATGATCAATATCTCCCACATTCTACCACTCTGATTATTAACTATGAAGTAAAAATAATGGCTTATAGATGAAACACACTATATCCCAGGGCTACCCTTTTCCATAATGCTGCTCCACAAAACCAATGCTTCCTTTATAGCTCCTGCCATTAAATATTTATTGATGATGAAAATGGATCCCTAAATCGATATATTAGTATATAGCAGTATTAGTACATTTTTGTATACATGTAAATGCTGCTTTAAGATTTTGATGGTCCTTCCCCCCCCCCGCCCCTCCACACATTATTCAATTTCTACCTCAGGCATTATTTTCTATTCAGTTCTTCAGGCGCTTTGTAATTATTTTGATTCTTATCATTTAATATTAAATTGCAATGTCATTTATTTATAGAATATGTAATATTTATATCCATTATTGCCAGGACTACCTCAGGACTACCTATTGTAAATATGTATTACATACACTCCAATGATCTCCACTCTCCAAATTTCTAATTTTCATAATTCAAACCAAAATTGGCAAAATATGCCCACCATTTTACATGATTTTTCTCATTTTCAACATGTTCAAGTGGGTGCAAATGGATTCTCAGGTGGGTGCTACGCCTGCTTTAATGCTAGGGAGATCACTGCACTCTATTGCACCCTATGCAGACAGAGCCTGTGTGAAATATTGGGTGCAGCGCAAATGAGCGGAGGGTGCGGAGCTAACGGTCATTTTTGAATTTAAAATTGGGATATTTCTGAAACTAAGCCGTTTTGGGACTTCAAATATACCAAGATATGTGTATTTGACACCAAATATCAATAAAATTGTGAAAATAGTAGTGCAATTCATTTTATAGCGACGCAGTATGCCTTAAACATTTCCCAGACCTATATATTTTGAGACTATCCTTTTAATACTGCGTCCCCAGCATTCATAAAAAATGGTGTTCAAGATACACTACCCATGCAAATTATTTTTGCATCTTGGAAGCCAGGCAGTATCTGTGTGATTTTATAAAAATTCGGAAATGTTCTTCAGATATGAGCCCCTCTAAATATTGGGTGCGGAGCTACGTTTATGGAGCTGCTCCGCACCCAATATTTAGAGGGGGCTCATATCTGAAAAAATTTCCGAATTTTTATAAAATCACACAGATACTGCCTGGCTTCCAAGAGGCAAAAATAATTTGTATGGATAGTGCACCTTGAACACCATTTTTTATGAATGCTGGGGACTCAGTATTAAAAGGATAATTTCAAAATATATAGGTCTGGGAAAGGTTTAAGGCACACTGCGTCGCTATAGAATGAATTGCGCTACTATTTTCACAATTGTATAGATATTTGGTGTCAAATACACATATCTTGGTATATTTGAAGTCCCAAAACGGCTTAGTTTCAGAAATATCCCAAATTTAAATTCAAAAATAACCGTTAGCTCCGCACCCTCCGCTCATTTGCTCCGCACCCAATATTTCCCACAGGCTCTGTCTGCATAGGGTGCTATTGCAGAACATATAACTAACAAGTCTCTTAAGTCTCTGACAACCCCCCCTCCCATCAAATTCACCTTCCAACAAAATGGAATTCTTATTTAACAGTCACTCTTTTACAGAGTTCCTCTAATGCTTGAAAGGGATAGTACACACTGTAACCCGGGCACTGTAAATCCCATGAAGACTGAAAATGTGATCCACCTTTCCTCATTTAACAGTGCCATCTATAATACACAAGTATAATGAATAACTGGTAAGCATAAATGGAAACTTTAAGGCTTAGTCAAGTACGCCATCTATTCTACTAAAAACCAAAAATTATGACAAAATGTCACGATATTTTAGCTAATTATGCAATATAGAGAGGTTAAAAGCTCAATATATCTAAAATCTGTAAAACAGTCACTAGATTTATGTGTACAGCTCAATTAAAATAAGATGGGGTTGTGGATACCATTTGGCAACCCATTGAGCAAAACCCCTCTATTGAATACTAAATTATGATGAATTTCAGATTTACATGTATTTCATAATATCAAGCTGAAATAAAATTTTCAATTAGCTTGAAATGAAAACTTGCTTTATCTATTTTTTCTGATCTTAATTATCTAGTCAATGATGTTATTTATACAAGCATTTAATGTTTGTTTTGTACAAATAATACTATTGTACCTATTTCTTAATTTACCAAAAGTGTTATAATATTGACTTCCAAAATCACTATTTGAAACAATACCCATATTTAGTATCTGAGGTATTTTTTGACCAATGACCAACATTAATCCAAAATGAAGGACCCACGGTCCTGTGCTCACACAGCTTGGAACCTTCAGAGGAATGAATATCCTGACTTTCAAACAAAAATATTGATTTGGATTTGTAGTCTTGAACTTTGAGAAACTTAAATAGCACAGTTGTGTGACCTAGTTTGATGACCTTTGACCTTGAAAATTTTACTAATTCAGAGCGTAAGGTCTTTTGTGATTAAGCTGACCAAAATTTACATCCAAAAATCAGTTTGAAAAATCAACTTTTTGACCTTTCAAGGTCACTGAAGGTCAAGAAAAGGTCAAATCCTAAAACTAATGTCAGATTTGAACTCCTGGCAACTTGTAGATGATTTTCAAAAATAAATTGGGTCAAATTGAAGCAAGTTGAAAAATAACTTATTTTTACTGTTTTTTTTACATCAAATATCTCAAAAATGGTGAAAATTTGATGCTGACATATATTGAGCAATATGTAGGGAATGCTTAAATCTAGTAATGATGTAATTTATTGCAAGAAATGATCAAGTATAAGGGAAACTTTGAGAAACTTGTCAATCACAAAACCTGCCATTGACTTTATGCATGAGAAAGTTTCCTGAAAATGACGTAAGTCCTACTTTTTGTCAAATTTTATAGAGTAAACACCAAAAACTGTAATTCCAAGAGCTTTGAAATCTTCAGAGGACATAAGTTACATATACAGCAACTACTAAAAGTCATTTGAAAGTTCTACTTCAACAAAGTGTCTAGTATTTACAGAAAATTTGACTTTTTGAAGTCAAATTCCGCAATTTCTCGGAAACTGGGCGAACTTGGGAAATGGCGATGATAGGTCAAATAGGCATTATGGATATGCATAAAATGAATGTGGATATGACTCAATCCGAATAGCAGTTTTAATTTGTGCGGCCAATGTTGACGGATGGACGGACCAATGGACGGACGGACCAACGGACGGACGGATGGACCAACGGACGGACGGACGCCTGGTCGATCCCATAGGCTCACTGTGTGAGCCAAACAGACATGCAAATTGACAAGCCTTGTCTGTTTTTAAACAGGCCATTATATCAAGAATTATGAGTTTTAGGCTAAACATGAAGAAACTTCTTTTCTACCAGAACTGATCATTTACAGTTATTTCAAGAGGTAGTAGAATTATATAGCCTAATTCTGAGGTAACAGCAATAATTAAATATCAATGAATATTTCTTCATGAATATTTCTTGATGCAATAAATGAATATGCTACATACAGTTCTATTTTCTAATTTCTTTCATCCTGCAATAATCCATGGATGTACAATAACCAGCACAAAATGCCGCAATAACACAATACTTAATACTTCGAGAGTGAATAATTACTAGATGCCTGAATATCACAACAGTTAAGGCCTATAAATATTCAAATTGTTCATTAAGCCCTTGAAATAAAAAGTAAATCACAATAAGGCATTAACATGCAAAATGTCACCACCTGCCATTTGTTACAGACACTGACTGCCAAACACTGAACATTATCCACAAAAAAAGTTAGAGACTTTATCAATATGTTACACTATGTCACCACTTCTGGTGGTGACATAAATACTGAAGGTGAG